TTGTTGGAAATCTAATATTTCCTGTTTAGAGTATAAAAATGTTTCGTCGTCTCGTTTACATATTTTTGTCTTGTCTTGAAAGAATTATAACTCTCGTGATTTCTCTTGAAGCTAAAATATAGATGGCACAACACTGTCTCAATTCTATAAGCAATGGCTGTTTTTTAATTGTTAAATTGAAAGTCTCAAATGTAACAAACAACTGGTATAATGTCATTCGTACTGGTATAAACAATTAAAGATGCAGTAAGAAACGATTTCATCATTTTAATAAGCTATCAATAGCTGTTCTTGTCAAACAATTTCTGCGCTTCTTTCTTTGGTCTTAAAATTCTTCTTTCCGCTTTGAAAAACATTTTTATAACCTCTTAAGTTCGAGCAGCGTACATGCCTTTTTATGCACAATTATATTTTAGCTCAAATCTTTAGTATTTAAAATCTATAAAAAATAGTTTTACATTTTATTTTTGACAGTAGTAGCCACTTTAACCATTCACAATGGTAAGACTGACTAAGTCTAAAATATGTAAAATAAAGGTACAAGTGGTGCAAGTCTTTTAAAAAACAGCAGCGCGCCAAGATAGTGAGCATAGAAATCATGAATCGAAGACAGCTAAAATTGCCCGCAACAAAGGCACTGGATTTTGGAAACACGAAAATTATGTTTAATGTAATATCAATACTCAGAGATGGATAATAAAATATTCACGAGTTAACAATAACAAACGAAAGCTTCGGTGTTCAATAAATAAAGGTCTCAGTTGAATCGGTGTAATTATTCACGTTTTTATATACAATTCCTATATAGTCTATCAAGTTACTCGTACTGTTTTATTATATTACCGAATATTGTGCGAAAAATTGAAAACGCAATCAAAGCAGTGATCGCTTTAAGATTTTTTACTATTATTTCAAATTTTGACTAAATCAGAATTTGATATCAGGACACATCGCCTATAACATGATCGGCTCAGAAAGTCACCACAACTTTTAATAACCTAATTATATATAAATCCTTGTTATATGATTGTTGTTGCATTGAATTTACCGCTTTTGTGGCATTTGTACTTCAGCTCCATACAAAAAAACAAAGTGATATGGCCGCATTTTGGTGGTAGAGACTACCATTCTACCCATGCTTACCCCAGTTTAACTGTTCACACACAATTGCAACCATCTTGAGTTCGGCATGTTGCGTATAACAACAATAAATTTAAGCCGATTTCTCTGCGCAAATCGCAAAAACGTTATAACGTTTATCTCTTAAGATTTCCTTTGCTTTTGTGGTCAGTCAGTCAGTCATTTGGTCCACCCAACAGCCATTCATTTATTCAGTGCACTTAGCAATGAACGATTTTTATGATGATTTGCTTTGGCAATGGCAGTGAAATCGCAAATCAAACGAATACCTACGAGTGTATGTATGTATGTGTGCACGCTTAAGCTGCACAGTCGTAATCATCATGAAGCCTACTTTGCATTGCGTACTGTGTGTGCTTTTGCCATTTGAATATTTGTGGCGTTTTATAACAATTTTAAGAGAAGCGGTAACCCCATGCCATAGAAAAATCATGAGACTGTTAATGTCTGATTTTAGTTCAATGCTATTTCTTCTTTTTCTTGTCTTAAGATCATTCCTTAATTTCTTAAGCTTTTCAACTCCCTTCTGATAAAACTAAAGTCATCTTAGATTTGTTTCCCGGAGCTCTTCTCAGTTTCAAAAAAATTTTGAAAACGTGAAATAAATAACGACCTAGCAAGACCGAACCCTAGAAATAGTGATAACTTCTTCAAACTAATGTTCCATAACTCAAATCATTCCAAAGTAATGCTGACAGGCAATGCATCTAATTTAAGTCAGATTTTTCTTGTTTTTTTTTCAAATCAGGCGACGATGGCACTCAGAGGATTTTGCACTTATCCGCTTGAAATTTTAATGATAGCTTTACAATAATATTATCTAGTCAACTGCGTACGAATTTTTTGCTACTCCGTATGTCCGTTCGTCTGTATATATACGAACCAGACCTTCAGTTTTTGAGATATCAACCTGAAATTTGTTACAAATTATTTTGTCTCTAAGAAGCAGGTTATTTTTTGAAACCGAGGATATCGGCCCACTATAGGATATAGCTGCCATACAAACTGAGCGATCGGAATCAAAAGCTTGTATGGGGAGGTTTTTCATTTGGCAAGATATCTTTACGAAATTTGCCTAAGGCAATAATATATAATAATTGCTAAGGCCTAGGTACAATCTCTGCAGAAATTTTTCAGGTCGAATTACTATAGCATATAGCTGCTATACAAACTGAACGATCGAAATAAAGTCCTTGTAAATATGTTTTATATTTATAAAGGGTATTATAGCCTCGGTGCAGCCAAGGTTTAAATTTTTTTTTTCATATTTTATTATGGTTTAGTCAACTCGAGTTCCTAAACTCACCGTTGCCGTAGAAGCCTTCTTGAAGGTATTCCGAAAATTGAACCGGTAACGAGCATTTTTTATCAACAAAAAATTTTAATTTTTTATTCACAAATTTATGTTAAAAAAGCCAGAGAGAGAGAAAGAGAAATTCGATACCTTTTCCTTACTCACAGAATTAATTGTCAAATTGTCAAAGTTAGCCCTTTTTTAGCACTCTAGACTCAACTAACAGCTTAATTTAAACTATACGTTTTCTGGCCTTTAGCAATAAAAAATTCAACTAATAAATGTATTTTCAGAATTTTTTTTCAATTCCAATCAAAAATGAAAAATATTTAACAAATAAACATTGTAACCACAGTGCCCATGCACACAACAACTCAGTACCACTCGCAACTCTGTCAATAAATAAACTCGCAATTTTCGCAGCACGATCATTTCTGCGAGGCTTAAAATGATTTCTTTCCATTCCATTTCGAATGCAATTGTGCAACACTGCTATCAGCCGCTGCAGCTACCCAGTTGCAAGTGGATAAGCGAATGTGTAGCAAAGAATAATAAATACCACATATATTCGTGGTTTGGTGCAAACATAATGGCAGACAACACGAACGGACAGACAGAGTCAAACACAAATCCGGCCGAGCAGGAACGTCGCCGTCAAATCTAACCAACCGACGATGCAGCAAGTCAGCCAGCCATGAATTATGTTTCTGTGGAATTACAGTGATTTTTCAGTCAAAACCTGGAACTGATACTTTTCTTGCAGCATTCCCAGCTACTTTTCAACTGTTTGTTATTTTCTTTTTTTTTGGTTTTATAAAACTTTTTTTTGCATTTCTCTTTTGCGAATTCCTTTTGCGTTTACTATTGTAGTTTAATATTTTTTTGTTGTACACGCGGATTATTAACTGTTTTGTTGCATTCGTCGCTGCAATTACTTATTGTTGTTTATTGTCGGCAATTGTGGTTTGGCATTGTTGTGTAAGGTTCGTTTTTCGTTGTTGTTGTTTTTGTTATTATTGCTCTTGCTGTTGGTTGGCTATTATTGATTTGGCATTGATGATGCCTTGCTTGCAAACGCACACACAAACAAATTATTTGTGCTTGTTGTGGCCAGACTTGTTGTTGGTGTAATTTCAACGGCTGCTGGCGATGAGTTTTGATTGATTTGCGATTTTCGATTTATTGTTATCGCTTTCGGCGTGGAAAATGAGAAATTTCTTTTGGAGAAAATTGTGAGAATTCGAGAAAAATGTGGAATTCGCAACGTTTCTTTTCCAAAATTTGATTTATAAGATATATATAACAGTAATGAAATACTTTAGAGAGAGCGATAGAATTAATGTCTATTGAAGTTATCTAAAAAGCAGTGCAAAGTCTTAATTTTCGGTTCGTGTTTATTGTTAAGAGGTCAACCAATCTATGTTTTACAAAAAATGTATTTCTCCTTTGGTTTGAAGTACACTTTGTGGTCCTAAATCATCTTTTTTTTTTTTTCAATGATCTTTTTTCAGCACTGGCAATTGGTAGTTTTTAGTACAGTCGCGCATCCCAAATTGATTTTTTGTTCCCAAAAACGCTAGATCCTTTTTCGGGAAACTTCATTTCTCAAAGCAAGTGACCAAGTACTCAGGGACTATCGCACGTATACACTTGAAGTTTTAACTGCGAATTCACTGTAGTTTAGGCTAGTAACAATTCCATACAATTCGCCGGGTACGTAAAAAGTATGGCAACCGAGATGCTTCAACCTTAGTCTGGCGTAGGTTGGACAGTGAAGGAGAAAATGTCCAGATGTTGACCAACGCGACACCCATAGACACAGGAGAACCACTGTTCGTTCCCATCCTAATGTAATTTGGGTAAGAATGCCTTTTCATGCAAGCTCATCGGCTTTACAGTTTCCGACGATTATGCTGTGGTCAGGGACCCAGACAACTTTATTATGAAAGCCGCTAGGTGTACGCACTTCAGAGAAGTACATCTCCTACCACTTTCTGCTTAAAGGACACCACAGAGTTCTTTGAAAAAAGTGTGGATTGAGAGCTCTCGATAGAAGATTTCTCACCCAACATTCCCTTTGGGCTTCGATCCGTTCATGAAAAATGTCACTTTTATAAAAAATTTACTGCTCCTATATTTTCATCAGAAAGTTAACATCTTTTTCTTAGTTCGTATTTTGAGAAAAGAGAATAAGATTCCGTTTTTCATTTTTTTTTTTTAAGATAGAGATAGAGATTTGCTTCTGATAGAGTTGAGGCCCTCTTAAAAAGATGATTCCGATAAGTGGTATATTCACTGAAATTTTGTATCAAAATTTCACTATAAAAAATCTTAAAGCTTAGATCTTGTTTTATGGCTCTCGACTGACCCTTGATTAATTTTAGTAAAAGAGTATTAAAAAATATTATTTTATATATTAAAGATAGTTTTAAAAATTCTAAAATTGTGTTTACTTATAGCTATTGCTAGTCTTTTCCAACAACAACTTAACCCTTTAATATTTAATTTAACCAATTTATGTCGACATTAAAAATATTTTTAAAAAAATTATACTTTGTTTACTCACCAGCAATATGGCCATTCTCGTATGCGTAGTCACCATTATCCAGTCGATGTTTCTTTAACTGCGGATGTTGCGACAGGTGTGTAGGCGGCAGCGACAAACCGACGGGGCCACGTTTTGGCGGTCGACCCGGTCTGGAACTGCGGAATTGCAGAGAGTTACTGTTGGGTTAAAATAATGCCAAGTGTCAGTAGCACAAACCACAGTGAAAAATTTCTTTTTTTCTTAATCGGATAACAGCAGCGTGGTTGTGTCTCCATAATAAATATTTTTAAAATAAATTATATTGCAAGGAAAATTATTTAAGTGGAAATGTTTACATAAATTGTTAATTATACAGAGAAAAAATAATTTCTGTAGAAATTATATATTTTCAGCTTGTTTAAAAATTTCATTTGAAATTTTCTGTTTCGATGAAATTTCAGTCAAAAAAACAAAGGTTTTAAAATGTAATTTCGACAGAATACTATATTCAGAATTCTATTCAATGCTACGATAGTTTTGTATTTTACGGTCTCCAAAACCAAGAACTATTGGTTCTTTTTCGAAATATATTCATAATACAGTTTTTTTTTTCTTTGGAAATTTCAGTTTAAAAATGTTTACAGAAAAATTTTTGACAAAAATTATTTACAAAAATTAGAATTTTTTCCAAAAAAAAAAAATATTTATATTCATATCTCCAAACACTCCATTTATCACACTCTTTGCTGACTCGTTGAAAGGCGCATAACTGTAAACATCATACTACGTCGCTATCTCCCGCATTCTATGCAGTTTAATTGCACAACTAAATATTTATTTGTTGTTATTCTAGGTATTAGCTTACGTCTAACATTATTTATTTATTAGTCCGCAATTGCGCTATTTACTAAGTCAAAATTGTTTTTATTTATTTAACTGCAAATAAATACAAAGAAAGTGAAATTTAATTTCGAGAATTCTTTTTGCCGCATTGCTCTCCCACTATAAGGTGTTTTCATTTATTCTAATATGATTTATTACTGACTCATGCGAGTACATACAGACATACACACATACATACATACGTAGATATATCTCAGCGTGCAGCAAATATACGCAGCCACTTCCCGGAACGCAAGCCAAAATACATTTGCTACTGTTCACGTAAGAGATTAGAAATGTAAATATCAATAAGTACATAAATATGTTTGTATGTATGCATATGTGTGTTCAAAGGTAGCATGATGTCTTTATTTACACAGCAACAAAACAATTAGAAGGCTGACGTTTGGATAAAATAATTTTGAACTAGCAAATGGGAAGACTAATTGATATATTTTTGATTATAAAAAATATATTGTTATAAAAATGACAAGTTATAATTGAAATTTTTTTATTATCATATTTATAATTTTATAAAAAGTTTTTAAATAGAATGAGAACTGTGCGAAGCGCTTGTAGCGTCTTTTACGTTTGAAATATTAAACGAACAAATCATAAGAGATCATAGCGTTACATGCTGATTCTTGATTATTAGATTGATTGATATAATATAATATATAAAAATATCTTAAGAGGTTAGGCCAGTTTAAGATTCAAAAAATTCAATATATTTTTTTTCACTTTCCGCACATAAAAGTTAGAACGCCTTATCCACGAAACTGCATTATTCAAATCGGCCGATTTCACTAAATAAAAATTCACTTAAAATGTTAACTGTAGCTGCATCAACATAATCACTAAACTACGTACGATTTTTCAATTGTTATTGCAACTTTTTTATAAACAATTTATAACGAATTTTTTAGGTAAACATCCGCCATTTCGCACAAAGAATATGCTCTTTACTTGCATGTTTTGAGTAAATTAAGCCGCTGTTTTTTATTTTGTTTAAGATTGCACTCGCTTTTTGAATCATCGTCGAAAGTATGGGTATTGGATCTTCAGCGTTCATTTTGTATTACACTGTCAATATAAACCATTTTTATACAATCATATACCTAAAAATGTTGAATAAAGCCTGAGAAACGAACTTCGATTCCCTTTTTCTTATTACCAGAATAAATTGTTACGCCTTTTTAAAGACTCAGGACTGGCTTAACCCCTTAAATAAGCAATGTATATTAATACTCGTAAATATATAAAATTTTGAATACTTTTCATCTTATCCAATTCCACAATTCCGTGTGACTAAAAAATATGTAGAAATTTAGTTAATATAAGTTAACAATAATTGAAAATAAAATTAAAAATTTAGTAAACAGCTTTTATTTATTTTCTGTTTTTTTTTTTAGTATAACTTTTCCACTACAATTTTTTTATTAAAAAATGTAAAATTCAGTGATTTTAATTTCGCAAATATTTATAAAATTTTACACATTTAGTTATCAACTGCTATTTTTTTGTTTTCTATTGCATTGTAACTTTTACCATTAATTTTTTTGATAATTAATAATAAAAAATTCTGTAAATTCGATTTAATTTAGTTTACTAATAATTTAAAAAAAATTTAAAATATTAAGTTATTTTTAATTATTTTCTATTTTCTAATCTTTATATTATATTTTTTGTATTATAACTTTTCAGTTTATAATTTTTTTTTATAATGAATTACTAAAAGTAGTATTTAGATTTTTATTTATTTTATATATTCTGTTTCATTATAATCTTTTACACTTTTTTTTAATTTAAAACCAAAAATATTTATATTTCTATTAATGTAATATAATAATAATTTATTAAAATTTTATAATCATTTTTTATTTATTTTCTATATTTTTAGTTATTTAATTTCTATTTTTTTAAATAATCTGTATCATATTATATTTTTTCCACTTAATTTTTTCATTTAATTATTAAAAACTATTTTAAATTCAACTAATTTAATTTATCAAAAATTAAAAAAAAAACTTTTATTTTAGAAAGAAAACGTATGTAAATTTTAATTAAAATAATTCAACAATAATTAATTTCATATTTCTTATTTTATTATATTTTTTCCACTTTATTTATTTTTTAATTAATAATTAAAAATATGTAAACTTCTATTAATTTAATTAAAAAAAAAAAATTATTTTAAAAGTCTATTTATATTTATTTTCTGTTTTCTTTTTCTATATTTTTATATAATGTTTTTATATAATACAATATATTTTTTTATATATTTGCTGGAAACATGTTATTAAAAAATTTATAGTACATTAAAAATATAAATATTAAAATTTCGATTAGAGGTTTTCTCTTCAATATAAGCAGTGTTAGAAAAACATAGAGATAACACATAAATATGTTAATTATTAGTGAAAATTGATTAATTAATTTATTCGTAAACGAAACTCAGCCGTTTTCTGTGTTAAACAACCTCATAACTGCAGCTACTCGAAAGTAACCCGAAGCTGAGATATATATTTGATTTGCTGCAATAGACGCAGTGACCTGAAATTTACCAATTTGTGGACTGTATCATCATTAGATGTATTTTACTTTCTTACAATATCCGACATATTAATTATTTGTTGAAATTATATTCACACTTTTTGGGCGCTATTCCATAATGAAATGTACCCAATTCTTTAATTGACATTATATTTTTAATTATATATACGATAATTAACATAATAGGTTTTGTGTAAAAAACAACCTTTCGTGCTTTCTACAAAAGATTATTAATCTTAAGCGTTATCTAAATTTTGCAATTTACTTAAGCTTATTGCCAAAAATCTAACTTAATCTTATCCATAAATTTAGTAAATATATCAAAATCCACCAAACCAATATTTGGACACATACAAACTGTCATACATATATACATATGAGTATGTACATATGTACACAGATGTGAGGTTTGGACAAAAGCGCAAAAATTGGCAAATCCAAGCACCTGCTATCAAGCACACTCATTCATATTTAAGTATATACATATGTACATACAACCAAAATTCGGTTAAAGAATATTTAATTAAAAGGAGTAAAAAAACATTTTTTTAATAAATGTAAATAATTTTGCTTGGCAAAAAAACGGTGACATAAATATTTGCATGCACTGTATAACTTAAAATATGACTGGGATTGTGAAGTTAGTAAATATATATAATATATAAGTTTATATTAAAATATATCGTTTGGAGCATAAGGAGTATATAAAATCGTATGTTAAAGAAATTAACAAAGGTTTCACCTTCGTCAAGCAGTTGGTGTTTTCCACCTAGATGTTGAGAAATATCATAAATTCTTAAAGACTGACACCATGTTGGCATGCACTGCATGAAATTTACAATACAATTCATCTGCAAGCGATTGCGATTAAAGAAGTTAGCCCTGAGATGTCACATGAGTGCAGAAATTCACAGAAAGATTTCATTTTCCAGCCATTGCGAGCAGTATATCTGTGTGTTATATTGTATGTATGTATGTATGTTGGTACTTAATTCCAAGCAAATGAGTCAATTGTTTTGAAGATGTCACAGAGTAGGCATTTTTTATTATTTTTGCTTCTCCACCTGTTATTTACAACAAAAGCAGGTGAGTCAAGCGGGTGCAGAGTTCAAGCGAGATAAATATTATACGATTTTGCGTTTCATTTTTTTTTTTGGTGTAAGAAAATGATGTAAAAAATAATAACAAAAAATGATAGTAAACTTAATTTTAATTATAATATTGTCAAAATTTTTTTAACTAATTTAGTAATGATTAAAATTAACTTAAAAATTGTGCAATTCTTTAATTAAAATTTTTTATATATATATATTTTTAATAATTAATTTTTTAGAACAATAATAACAAATAAATAAAGTAACACATAATTACGAAAAATTACGATTTTTTCGAATACTATTAAATTAAATTAAGTTATTAATTAAAAAAATTAATAAAGAAAACATAAATAAATAAAAATAGATTATTAATTTTTGAAAAAATAAAGAGAAAGAAATTTATAAAAAGATAAAAACAGAAATTAATTAGCAAAACTATTAAACACAATTATTTCCAATTCTTTACAACTTTAATATATTAATTTTTCAAAAAAACAGTGGAAAAATTTGTACCAAAATAAAAAAAAATAACAACGGATTATAAAATTTAACTAATTACTTAATTATAACTATTTAATAAAATAAAACTAAATTTTACTTATTTTTTATTGAACTGAAAAATTATATTCATATATAAAACAGAAGTTAAATAAAAATAGATTATA